TGGACTGACAGTTGGACCAGGATCAAAGCGTTCACGCTGTGCGCAACACGATCCACGAACACGAGTCCTTTTCCAAACAAAGTGATAGAATTCGCAGAGCAACAACTAGGCTCGGAAAAAAGGGGGCCGTCCTCTGGCAGAGAAAAGTATACAAAAAGAACGGAACAAGTCGGGTCGATCATTTTATCCGAAGCGTGCGTTCTTCGCCAACTAGCGGAAAGTTCCATGCATGCTTTCCGTGCTTTGCACTGCACAGATGGGGCAAGTTTTCTTGTCAGAAAATTGGCATACTGTTTTGAAAGCTAAAAGTTGGCACGCCTTGACCTGAAATCTTCACCAGCTGGCCAATATTTGACGCGTCAGCCGCCTTGGATGCCAATATTTGGCAAATTTGCGGAGTATTCCGGGGCCAGGCTGGCCAATTTTTGACAATCAAAACGGCCTGCCAATTTTGAGACGATGAAACTTGTCACGCTTGACTTGCTGTGTGTTTTCATGGGGTCCTTACGGAGACTGGGGAGAACGTGTGCGGAAGTCTTGTACCTTTTCGGCATCCAATTTTTTTTAGCATCCTGTACAAAAATAATACAAACTACTTTGCAGTGTCCCGCCGCGTCCCGCCGCCGCCTCTATTAAGCGACAGCGTGATCGCGTTGACTTCCGTTTTTATATTCGTCGCGACACTCGCATAACGACGCCCGCCAGTCGATGGGTCGTAACTTTCGCAGCGAATTGCAGCAGCGCCCGCTGAAGCACGTTGTTCCCACTCCGTTTTAAAGAGAGCCGCGCGCCGGCTTTTTTAAAAAATTTATTTTTGTTTAGTTTTTTTTATTTTGCTTGTTAAATATTGAAAGCAGAGCGGCGGTGTCGCTAAAGAGGCGGGTGCGGGGTAAGAGTAGTTAGGGGTCGCGGGCGTTAAAAGGGTGGTGTGAGTGAGTGAGTGTGTGTGTGTGTGTGTGTGTGCGTGCGAGAGAGAGAGTGAGGGAGAGTGAGGGTGAGTGAGAGAGAGAGAGAGAGAGAGAGAGAGAGAGAGAGAGAGAGAGAGAGAGAGAGGACGTGTGTAGGGACCGGCGGCAAAGACCCTGCAGGATGCAGAGGACTCGGACGACGGAACGAACGAGGGAAAAAAGGGTGAGAAGGGTTTAAGGGGAAGGGGAGAGGGGGTGGAGGGGAGGGGCGATCGCGGCCCGTTGTAACGACGCCCCCTCCTTTTATTGGCTGCGACGTCATCCTCGGGGGAGCTGTGTGTCCGGCCGGCCGTCCCCCAAACCTCCGCACTGCAAAACGGCCCGCCGAAGCATGCGGAGCAGCAGACTGATTCCGAGAGTCGTTTTCGTCGCTCTGTCTCTCTCGCACTCACGGGGCGTTCCGTATAGATGCGAGAGAGACGGAGCGGCGAAAACGACTCTGGGAATCGGTCCGCAGGCGGAGCGCGCGAAGAGGGACGACGGCTCGGATAGGCAGAGAGACGCTGAATCTGGCCGGACGACTTCGGAAGCGCGACGTCCTTTGGAGAAACTTAGGCGGAATAACTGTGACCGTTACACGACAAAGTTGCCGTCATTTCGTCTTCCCGCCAGCGTTGACAAATATACTATTTCCACTGCAGCATCTTGAGAGCGAAGTGCAACAGAAGCGGAAGCGGAGAGCCGTCTTCGGGGAAGTGTATAATAATACACTCTGAAGGACTGAGTGGGCAGCCGGCCGGCCAGGCAGTCGGCCAGCCAGCCAGCCAGGCAGCCAGGCAGTCAGCCCGGCAGCCAGGCAGGCAGCCAGGCAGGCAGGCAGGCAGCCAGGCAGGCAGCCAGGCAGCCCACGCACGACGCGTCAAGCGCCCGCCGCGCTGCAGCAGTGGGGCCCCAGCCGCTCGGTGCCGCCTGGGGCCGTGTACAAAGGTTGGGGGTCGCCACTCGCCACGGTCACGTTTTGCGTGCGCTGGTGTGAGTGCGTGTGTCGGTGTGTGTGAAGTTAGGCAAAGGTTAGGGTCCGACCCACTGCGAGGCGGCGCGACGTGGCACGGGGTGCGTATATATAACAAGGTGAAATATGTAAGACTCCCTTTCTCCCTCACTCCCACGGGGCTCGGCACGGTCCCGGGCAGGTCAACTGTCCCCAGGCATTATTACAGGCGGAGCGGATTCTGACCGCAATCCGACTTTACACTCAGAGTGAGAGAGAGAGAGAGAGAGAGAGAGAGGAGAGAGAGAGAGAGAGAGGGAGGTCATGGACCGACGCGCGCCTTTCCGCTAGAAGTGCTGCTCTTTCGGCTTACGGCGCGGCGGGTGGCGCTTCGCGTCTGCTTTGGTACTGATATTTTTAACATCCCCGGGCTGTCGCGAGTCGCACCACCCCGCCTCGGTCCCGGCGGGTGCGCCCCGCCCCGCCCCGCCCCGCCCCGCCACCTGACGCCAACGCCATGCCGGGCCGTGCCTCGACAGCCCCTGCTTATTTCTGCCAGTTCCCACGGGCAGGGCCGAGGCCAGGGCGGCAGGGCCATGCCTACGAGACCGCTCCCTCCAGCAGCCTATCGCCCGGCCCGGCTCTGCTTGGCTCGATCCCCCCCACCCCTCGCCAAGGTGAGCGGCTGCGGTTTTCCTGAGCCTGCGGCGACCCTCGGTCGGCACCCTGCAAAATTTACTTTTATGCAGAATTTTGCACATTTCGGGGCGCCTTTGGCCTCCTGTAGCCTCGTGACTCAGAGTGGCCAGGTCGGAGCGTTTCGCATGGGTGAGACACGACACCCTGCTCGGGTTCCACCGAGTGTATCCGACCCAAAATGGTGCAGTCCCTCGGGACGGGTTCGCAATCAAACAAAGCCGCGCCAGGGGCAGCCTCTGCCTTTTTACGCTGTAGCTCATTTCGAGCCTCACAAACCGCTCCGCGCGCCCCGTCCCCAGGTGACCCCCCTGCACGCCCTGTAGGCCCTGGAGGGCAGACCACTACCCTCACCGCAGAGAACACCCCCGCCCACTGAAGCAACCAGCTGACCATCCGTTACACTCTTCGCCCGGTCCTGCCCTCGCCGTGCAATCTTTCATTTTATTGCCCTGATTTTTCTGCCGGCCTCTGTCTCTCCCGCATTTTTTTCCCGCCTTTTTTTTACGGTCCCGCGCGTCCCACAATTGGGCGGTATACAGTTACTCCGGCTGCAGTGCTGACGCGCGAGGAACGTGACGAAATAAATCGAGAGCCGCCAAATACCCACCCCCTTTTCGCCCACCCCTTCCTCCGCCCTCCACAAACAGTAGTTCCTCGGAGCGGTCGGGTCAGAAAATGTTCCCGCCGCGCCGCGCAGTGTTGACGAAGACGGGGCAGCGAAGGAGTGAAATCTCGAGCGCAGTGGCCGCGGTGGCCGGAAAATGCGACACACTAATAAATGGGCTGGTTGAGTAGGGCTCCTTAAAGTTGCGACAGTAGCTGAACGCAGTCTTTGCGCTTTAAATTCTGTTTAATCGACCCCATGAGGTCGAACCATACAGTCATTAGTGCAAGGATTTAAAGTCCGACAAAAAAACATGGAATAGTTCAGCACGCTTTAAAACTTACGAAGTATTTTGAGTATACATTATAGAAACTAAATTTTGTTATACGAAGAAATAGCTCGTAATTTACGAAGTATTTCCTTTGAAAGCTTATGTATGTTAAAAGTACTTTGTTACAACAAGCTGCTTTTCTTTGTAAGGCCTAAAATAGTTCATAAAGTTTTCTCATTGGTGCGGTTACTGCAGCGACACACCATGGACAATATCTTTCATAGCAACAAGAAGTATTTTTAATATTTTCCCGAAAAGGTACCCTTTTACAGGAACGTTAAAAACCCTAGTGATAAAGGCAACATACTTCCCTGCTCGGGGATTGAAATCCACCCAAAATTAAGTTGAGAGACTGAGTCCCGTCAGAGAGTGCGGCACAGCTACTTCATTTTACCGGAACGCTCCCCTTCCCCTGGCCCGTGGAAGCCTGGAAGGTGAGGGGCATCCATCTGGCCGTGGCGTGCCGTGCCGAGCCGTGCCGAGCCGTGGCGTGCCGAGCCGTGCCGAGCCGTGCCCTGCCGTGCCCTCCGCAGGGCTCCGCACTGTCCGCAGCGAAGTGCAGCCAAGACAGTCCGGAGTTCGGCTCTCTAATCAACGCCGCCCCGAAAAGGTCTACCGGATGTGACACGTCGTTAATCATTGGCCCACGGGCGGACCAATCAGGTGGGGGTGACGCAACCGCGGGGGAGGGAGCGGAAGGCGAGTTCTTAAGTAGAGCACTGACGCTTCTTAAAAAGCGCCACCTCTCTCTTCTTCCCTAACGACTCGTGTCCGCCCCGCATAGCGGCAGACGCGATCACCCGCAGTGCGTCTCTCTCTCTCTCTCTCTCTCTCTCTCTCTCTCTCTCTCTCTCTCTCTCTCCGTCACCTTTCGTCGTCGCCAGCGTCTCTCGGGAGGGGAGGGAAGAGCGTCCCAGAATATTAGCTCTCCAGTCTTAATCAAATATATTATTATTATTTTCGGGGGGGAGCGCTTGGTATAACGAATGCAGAGGAGAAGGTCCGACCCAAGGAACGAAATCGGAAAAGTAAAAGAATCCAGGTTGCCGTTCTAAAGAGCCACTTCTTAAACGCACTATGGATTTGGTGGTTGAGAGTCAGGGAAGGTAAGTGGAAACCATAAAGGAAATTTCTACTCAAAAATGTGTGAGAGTTCGAAGGTGAGTTATAATAGACATTAATGTTTTGAAACGGAGCCGGATAAGGAAGGGCATAAACTGAGGTTATAGGTGCGGGGTAAAAGGGGGCCCGCGTCGGGGGATGAAATATGCGATCCGGTAACAAAAGAACGAGGGGAAATCCATTGCCTTGGAGGAGGGAAAAGAGGGGAGGGGTGATGGGTGTGAATATGCGGCGACACGGCAAATGCACCCCTGTCGGTCGCAAACGTGTGTGTTTGAGGTGGCTGCAAGTTATGACATGGCCTATCTGGACCACACGCACATGCACGCACACAGACAGACTTACCCTGCCGAAGTTCGTCAGTCCTCCGTGCTCCGGGCTGAAGCCAGGCTCCTCCACCTGGGCCGAGTCCGCCCTGCGAGAAGAAAACGAGTGAGGCTCTCGTCCATATACGCACGTCAAAGTTTCGTTTCGCGGAAGATGCGGTTTCCGTGTTGCAGACTGATATCGGGAGCCGTTTTCATCGCTCTCTCTCTCGCGTACCCGTACGGGATGCTCCATGAGTGCGTGAGAGACACACCGAGTACGATTCTCAGAATCAGTCTGCTGGGGCAGGCCGCTGCCAGGGCTGCCGGAGCTAGCTGCATCAAAGCGATGCGTGCGCTGCCAGCCTCAGCTCGGCCGCCCTGCGTGTTCCTTTTAGTCTGAAAGAAATATGATATTGGCACTGGTAACGAAGTTACCAGTGCACCGCTGGAAATATCCATCGGCAGACTGCCACGGACACTCTAGCTGGGATTTTTGAAAAGTTTCACCAGGCAGGCAGGTAACACGCTTCTATGCTCGGCCATATTTGTATGAAGTACTTTTCTTTCTTTTTATCTGCGGGATTCAGTTTGTTTTGGACTACCGGTACAGACCAAACTGAGTAAAATTGACATCAAAGTTACAAAATAGTTTTTAAAAAGTTACAAAAATATGTAAATAAATCGACTCAAACTATTAGTTTTAGATCTTTTGACTTAAATCTTAGTGAACAATTAAATGGTTACCCTCTTAGTGAAGAATTAAGTGAATAGCCTCTCGGCAAAAACGGTCCCAGGTTTCCCCAGGAGCTCCCTGGAAATCACCTCTATTTGGTAAAACCAGGAACAGTTTTTGCCGTGTCCTTAGTCAAATGAAAAAGATTTTTCGATTGAATTGACTCAACTTCTTTGACAGTGTAAACCCCCTAAAACGAGACTCACCACGGGGTGTTGCAGGTGCTGGTGAGGGTGAGGTACCTCACGCCCACGTCGTACAGCATGCGCAGCACGGCCAGCGAGTTCCCCAGGGAGTGGCCGCCCTCCACGCCGACCAGCGAGCACACCTGGGACAGCGAGTGCGCCTCCCGGATGTCTGCAAAACAGCACGCCGCGCACGCCGCGCGGGCAGGCCAGGCTTAGCCAGACATATGTCATCATTTTGCCAAGGCAGCCGCAGCAGCCCCGGAAACAGCCACACGGCCTCTCGGCCACAAGCACTGTCAACATTCTTGTCACTTGATGGCAATCTCAGGGACGATTGTCCTTACAAGAGTGTCATGAACGTGAGTTGATGACATTGTTGTACGATAAGAACATGAGCTTTCATGAAAATTCCATCAATTTACGATGAAGTTGTCAGCGTTGATAAGTGATGAAAGTGTCATTCATGATCTTGTCTTAGACTGACGACGGATTTTCACAGTGCAGCGCGCGGTCTTCGCCGCAGGCTTCGGAGACCAGCTCCGAACATCACCCACATGGCCGTCATACACAGACAGCGTGATGCGCATTCATTTTTCACACACGTGCACGACACCCACACACGCCAGCCTTCCTCCTTCTCCCTTCGGACACACGGACAAGCTCAGCCGCTCAGCCCCAGCCGTCACATCAATTTATTACGACTGAGCAGCTAATTGAGCTCTGTGACTTTGTAACAACGCCCTCATACAGGCACGCACTCACGCACACATACACACAAGTCACCACAGAGTGTCACTACACACACACACACACACAAGTCACCACACAGTGTCACACACACACACACACACACACACACACACACACACAAGTCACCACACAGTGTCACACACACACACACACACACAGGCGCGCACACACACACACATACACACACACACACGCGACAAGAAAACTCACACGTTCGTGATTCGACTGTTTGCTCAAATTACCGCCACCATTTAACTTGTCTCATTGTTTTATTTCTTTCTCTCGACAGCGGCGGCAATCTTTATTATCCCGCTCGGTACGCAGAACGAACGCGACTCTCTCCACGCAGTGAAAAGGAGAGAACAAAACAGGAAAATGAAAGGTGGTGAATTGAAAGCCACTCGAGCACGACCGTTACTGCACTTGTAGCCTCCAATTTCTGGTCCCCCCGGACAGCCACTGCGGCACCCGTGGCTTTATTTCATATCCGTTATTAGAACGACCGGTCGTTAAACCGAAACGGGAAAAATACGCCAACGGGCGATAACGGGCGTGTGCGAATGCGTGTTGAATAAGCCTTGGTATGTATCGGCACTTGGAACTGCCGACCTAAGCCTCCCTGCACTGCGGAAAATTCCGCAGTTTTGCACTCTCATTCCAGGAACGTGACATCACGTTGAAACGAACGCGACAAAATGTCACGTTCGTTTGAGCGTTGTGTCACGTTCGCTTGAACGTGAACAAGCTTTTTAACGTGAACAAGCTTTTTTTGGCCGATTCACGTCCCAAAGAATGAGACACAACGCTCAAACGAACTTGACATTTTGTCACGTTCGTTTAAACGTGATGTCACGTTCCTGGAATGAGAGTGTGTGCGGAAAATGTATAGAAAATTGGGCACGGAAAAAGTACGGACCATCCTCACTGACCCTCACAGTAAAAACGGAACCTGGTTTCCCCAGGAAGCCAATGGTGAAGGTGCGATTTCCAGGAAGTTCCTGGGAAAAGCAGGAACCGTTTTTACCGTGCTCCGTTAATCCCCGTAAGAATCTCATGTATTGCTGACAGGTGTTCATTCTCAATCCAAAAATTCAAGAAAGCTTAATGATATGATTGAATGTGGTTTAAACCTGCCAAAACCATCGTAAAGGGTAGACTTCGTGCCCTCGGGTCTCCGTTTTTCAGGCCCTAAGTGTCTTTGGACCAGACATGTTCCGAACTTTACTTTTTTCTACCAGAGTGCTTGGCTGCCGTTTGTAGCCCCGAAGGCCTGCCTAACGACGGCGCGGGGTCCGCGTCTATCTGCGCGATTGCAAGGGCCTCGTCGAAGTTTTTCCCAACAGGAACCGGAGTCATTAAATCACACTCCGCGCCGAGAGTGTTGTTGAACCGGCCGGGTGACACCGCACTGGTGCCGTCCCGTACCGTACCTCCGGTGCATGTTTTCACACTAAATCAAGTCGCGGTGGTTGTTATGAGAGGCTGTCCGCCAGGGCCCCGCCAGGGCCCCGCCAGGGCCCCGCTGCACTGCAGACAATGACGGATAGAGTCCGGAGCGAAGAGTCCAGGAAATGGGTGTTTGCGGCACGCCGGGGAATTGCATGCTGGCAAATGGAAATACATCGCTCTTGACCCCTTTTTTTCTGGCTGTTTTTTTTTTCGTTTTCCCCGTTCCGGCTGTTATTTTCCACGTGCGCGAAAAGACGTTTTGTTCTCGGTCGCGCCGCGTGGCGCCCCTTAGCGACCGTGCAAATGAGCTTTGGGGACGCGGCCGCCGCCTCCAGGCGCTCCAGGCTGCTCCAGGCTCGACAGGAGGTGCGACAACATTTTCCGGGCGCTTTCCCTGCAATTGTGCCTGCAGTTCCATTAAAAAAGGTGCCCTCAACGGGCCCCGCGCGGCCGCAGCAACTAGAACTCACCCTTTTATCGCGCTCTCTCCCACACACAGACATACATTCACACACACACACGTCCATAAACAACATAACACATGCACGTCAGAGAACACGAACCGACCCCATCTGACCGTGCGCGCTTCCCCCACGCCGCGCGGCCCCGACTGGACCCAAGGCAGGCGGTGCTCCTCCCTCAGTGTTTTATTCAGAATACCCCCGGCTTCCCGACTTGGTGCACACACATGTGGCGACGCTCCATCAGCCCCGGCCCGGCTCGGCACGGCTCGAACACCGTGTGCACCGCGCCCACCCCGCGATTCCAGTGGCTCGGGCGCAGCAGCGCTGCAGCCTCGCGGAAGCAGTGCAGATTGGATCAGCATGCGGTACCGCCGTTCGGTTGGAAGTGCCTCCGTCACTCTAAAAGTCTTACATAGTTTCGTACATAGTGAAGACCCTCCTACATTCTCCACATTATGGTAAAATTTCTTTATACCACCATAATATGGTGGTGGAGGCGACTTTGTGACTCGAAAATTCACTCCGCCTTTTACATATTTTGTCGAATTTATTCTCTTTTAAGGAGAAAATCCCCACCATAACGAGTGAGTGCAGCAGCCTTTCATCGTCAGACATTTAGGGTGTTCGTTCGTGCGTCATTCGCCTCCCGAGCGTGCCCTAATTGAATTAAACGAAAACGGTGGAGGCGGTGTGTGTGTGTGTGTGTGTGTGTGTGTGTGTGTACTCACGGTCGGTCGAGGTGCACCAAGTGAGGTGCGGGTTGTAGCGCTCCGTCAGTCTCTTAATCAAGTCCACCTGCTCCAGCGTCAGCTGCACGGCGTCCCGGAACTGCGCCTGGCACGGCACGTACGCCGCCCAGAACTGCAACACACAGGGCAGAGGTGGGTTAAAATCCGCTGCGGCGTCAAACTGGTTTTATTCCTGCCTTTCTGCCTGGAAGGGAAAAAACAATAACGCTGGCCCCTTCTTTTTCGCCAGCCCAGTCGTCCGGAATCGCTTTTCACCAGCCAGGAGGGGCAGGCAGGCGATGCCATAAAACACAACGCTGAAGTCGCTTTTGGTCTAGAATTTGGTCGATTTTCTTACTACATCATTTCAACCGAGAGTGCCCTCTGAAATCTTCAATGAAATTTAGTCAAAAGGAACTTAAACTGAAATTTTCAATCGATTTGGCTTTACTTTTCGTAAGTTGAATATTTTCTTTACAGCGGGAACTCAGTTACTCATGAATGACGCCTGCGCCCAGCCCCGTGAAGCGTGTCTGACAGCAGACAGATTCCGCGCACACCGAGCATTGTCGCTCTGTCCCTCTCCCACAGATACGGAACACTCCGTGAGTGCGAGAGAGACAGAGCGACGAAACCGACGTCCGGAATCGCCCCGCTGCCGCCCGACTGCTTTTGGTAAACCTCATTCCGCCGGTCGCAAACTTGACGAGTCCCCCCCTCCCCTCGCCCCTCTGCTTGCCGTCGGCTTGCCGCGCACGCAGAGACAAGTCAACAAGCTCCCAGCACCGCGCAGCACCTTGAATCTGCGAGTACCCCGGTCTGCCGTGCGCCTCTGTGTCGCGGGGCTGCCGCGGGGCTGGGCCCGCGTTTCAAGGCGGCGCTTGTTTGAAGGTTTGGAGGCCGCCCGAGAGGCTCGGCTCGAGAGCAGGCAGCCCTTCGGCCTTCGGGGACGGGTCCAGGACGAGCAGGCAGCCTCACTGCGATCAGCGCGAGACGCGACCTCTGAGGGGCGAAACGCCTGGAGGGTAGGCAATGTCGAAACAGCGGTGTCGCGAGGCCGGTCGGCTGCCTACCCGCCAGGCGCTCCAAGGAAAACAAACGGAGGAGCTTCGACGTCGAAAAGAGCACTCTAAACGGAGCATACTGAAGGTTCTCCATGTTACGGTGAAAATTCTCTATATTATGGAGGTGCAGCTGAGCTGACGCTGTTTTTATACCTTACCTTTGATAATAAGTCCACCATAGCAAAGTTCTTTTGTACTATCGAGAAAATCTCTACCCTTTTATGTTAGTGCAGCCTTTCACCGGAAGACTTTGTGGAGTGAGGGACGTTGAACTTCGGTCTCCAACAACAGGGCGCTTGTGTCGTTCCAGCCAGCCGGTCATGATGGCTTCCCTTCCCCTGCATGTGAAGCGTGGGAAGCGAGCGTGTGTCAGGTGCACGGTGTGCACCCCTTGTGCGGCAGCCCGCTTATCTGCCCGCGCTATGCAGTATGGACACGTCCCGGCGTCCCCTACGCGTGTCTGCGACGGTCTGCGACGGTCTTCGACAGACATCCCTCCCCCAACCAGACCCTCTTGGGTGGACGCGGTTAGTCCGTCAGATAGAAGGCGGTGTTGGCTGCTTTCTGGTCATGTCCCTGGAGTGGCCGCGCCACGGCTCACCACCGACCAGGGAAGTGGTGTCAGCATGGGCACTCTGGGGGGAAGGCGAGGCAGGGCGGGGAAGGCTTCTCCCCCCAGCCTTCCAGCCCGATAGTCTGATTGACGCCCTCGGCCCACGCGTGGACATGACCTGCTACCCCTCCCCCGCCTCCCCTTCCGTCCGGGGGTCTCGGACACGACTTTCATCTCCACGTAGGCAGCTGGCAAGACCCCCTACGAGGGGCCCGAGGGGCCACTTGTGGTCAATTGGCCCGGCCGGGGGTGGGGGAGCCGAGAAGAGCATAACCGACTAGGGGTCAGGAGTGGCAGAGGCGCGTTTCTCGGAAATTCGTCTCATTGTGATTCGGGATTTCTTCCGCCTGACGCGAGCGACGACGCCACATCGCAAGCAGAAGAAAAGTGGGTAAGGAAAACCGTGGCAGACTCATCATCAAATTGAAAAATGCACATACTGTATTTTAGAAATAAACCACGAGTTTTTCAAAACTTTTCAAAAACTAAAATTTTTATTCAAGGCATTAGCAAGTTCCGTCGTTAACAGAGCGTTGTGATTGTCTGAGTGACACAGTCACCCACACACAGACGCACCCTCACTGGGTAGGTGTAACTGTGCCGACCGCACAACCCCGGCGGGTGCGCTCCCTCCTTGTTATCGGCCCGTTATCAGACGAGGCACGGCAGGCCGCGGTAGAGGGAGTGCCCTTCGCCGCGTGTATGAATTAATTGGCAAAGTTGGACCGGCAAACAAAACAGCCCCACAAAAGGGCCTCACTGGGCCGCCACAGATACTGCGGCCCGCTCCTTCCGCGAGTTGAAAATTGCCGTTTCAATTGCAGCCCCGGATCAGGGATCGCGCAACCAACTCGTCGGCCTCCGCGCCGCGCTGGCAAGTGTGTCACCGCCAACGCCGACGCGCTCCCGGCCCACATCCCTCACCGTCACGCCGAGGAACGCCGAGGCGAGGCGTGCAGGTGCCCGCCAAGCCAAAGCCGCCTAACTTGGGCCGACTCGCATTCAGTTGCGGCAATGACAGGCCAGCCAAAGTTTGCTGCGCTTTTCTGCGGCCTTCTTTGAAGGAGGGGGATGAAGGAGACGGAGATGGAAAGAGAGAATTATGGCACTTGTCAGTCCCCCCTCTCTCTCCCCTCCTCTCTCCCCCTGCAAGGCCGTGCCACCGCACGAGACCGCCGAGAGGGGCGACACGCCGGTAGTTGTGCCTTGAGACAGAATTAACTGTCGACTTTCATGGGGCGGGCCTTTAAACGCGAGACCCGGTGGCACTGCGCAGCACTGCGCCTCAAGTCCGGTTTATCTCAAACACACTCGGCTTGGCGCCGCGGTTGGCGCGCTCCGCGACGCGGACTGCATGGCAATGCACCCCGCCCCAGCCAGGCCGGAATTACAGATTCACAAGGTGCGTCGACTCGCACCTCCCATGGTGCCGACATCCCGCCGTCAGCTGTCACCACAGCATTAACTTCGCGGACATGAAACGCACGCCGGCTTATGTAATATTCCGCACGATTTTTCCCTTCCAGAGAACTTTTTGCTAGAGTTGCTTGTTGATAAACCCGTCGCCGTCACTCTCACTTAGATCAAACTCTGCATCCGATGTCGAATAACTACCTGCACTTGTGTTTCTCGTCTCGACGGGTCGGGGGCGAGAGGAGACTGACTGGCAGACGCGCTACCTCCAGCGCGGCATGAACACCAACTTTGGCACAAACTAAACGAGTTAACTCAAATTAGCAGTTTCGCTCGCTGGCTGGCGAAGAAAGGCGGAGAGGGGAGGCGCCGCCCGACGCCGAGGCGTCACTCGCCGGGAGAGCGAGAGAGCGAGAGGGCAGAACGAGAAATGATGTACAACTCCATTACCGAGCACCACTGCTGCACCGCTTTCACGGAGTGGGAGGCGTGAGGCTGGGTGTGAAATGGGGATGCACACTTTTGTCTCTCTTCTGGCTCCGGTCCACAGTTTGTAATTTGCCCTTGCTCCAATGCGTTACGGAAACAGTTATTCGAAGACTGTGTTGTCATATTCATTTGCACGTGACTTTGGCCACATTTGTGAGCATACGATATGGTATTTGTTGAATCATGACACGGTCATGTAATTAGAAAGCCACATTCGTTTGGACGTGGATCAACACTCAAATGAATGCGACATCATAGGCCTATTCAGACAGACGTGATCAAATTCACGTTCTAACGAATGACGTCACTTTCGTTGAAAAGCTGTGGGGAGCGATTCATGTGATCGACAAGTGGCGAGGAACGCGCGGCAGCAGAGATGCGGTCAGCAGCATTCGCTCCGCCCAAAAAAAGGCAGCAACAAAAAGCCAGAATGGCGCAACCCCGCGGGATCGTGCAGGAACCGACCTTCCTCGCTCTCCTCCAGGGTGCCTCAGGAGACCGGGCGTGGGGTGGGGGAAGGAGAAGAGGGGGCCAGATGGATGCCCAGGAAGAATCCCCCCTGCCTGTACAGCATGCCGCCACAGCAGCGGCCGCGCCAGGCCGCGCGGGACCGCAGGGCATTGTAGGGCTTAGTGGCCGCGGAAGGGACAAGACGGGCAGGACGGGCCGTCGCGGCGATCAAGGGCTGTCTGCAGCGCCGCCGGCCGGACGACGTGGACGAGCCCCCGTTCTGCCTTGCATGATTTGGATGGTTTGCATGGCGTGGCCGGCCTGGCCGTCCGACGTCGTTGTGAGCAAGAGCATGGTGCCTGTGACAGGGTCCACGGGATCTGGAGGTCGGACCAGTGATCGAATGTCGGGGAGATCAGATCAGGGGTAGATACAGATCCAGCCAGAGGTAGAGGCAAAGTCGCCAGAGAGTTGCCCAGATACAGGGACGTGTGCTTTTCTACTACCTTTCAGGCGGCTGTCTAGGAGCAGTCGAATGGAGGTCAATTGTCATTTAGCCGTCCACTGGATCCGCGCGTCAGCAAGACCCAAGGCTGCACTGCTGTGGGGCAGCCAAGCGGAAGTATAGACAGACAGGGAACGACTTGGATGTCGGTTCTGACCTTTGCCCGCCCGCCCTCACTGCCCTGACCCGTCAGTTAGCCCAGATCAAGTTGTCATCGGCCGCGCGCTGAGAATGGCAGCCAGGCAGCGAGATACTGTATCGTCCCTCTGCACTCCGTCCCGGTATGTAGGGAAAGCCACTCACCACATACAAGATGCAGGACTGACTGGCAAATAAAACTAGTTCCAAAGCTGTGAAATTATTCTGCGAAAACGGACCATGTCACGCAACCTATAATATAGAAGCGCTTTGAAGTCGCAGTTGCCTCGCCATTTTAATGTCAACATTAATCAGGGAATTGAGTTCGGTAGAACAGTCGTGACCTGTTTCCATGATCAAACTCGGAAAGGTGTCCATCAGATTCCAGCCCAATTTTTCGTCCACTGGGGAACTAAACAACGCCGGTCCGGCCAAAATGATGAGCTCAACGCGGTGCTGAT